TTAGAAATCTTGCCACCATAGAGGTCCACTTACCTTCTCTCCTTTATGGTATAGTTGTCGTCGATTACATCTATATTTGTTGAAAACCCCATCAGATAATGCTATATGTTTTGCTTTCAACCATCAAATATATTTTAAAGAACTCAAGAGGAAAATAGCCTATGAAGTTTACACAGATATTTATCATTTCTGGTGCTCTTAATTCATTTCTGATGTTTCAGATTTCCTTCCAGTATTATTTCTGTCTGAAGAATTTTCTTTAGCAATTCTTTTAGAACAGCTCTCCTAGAAATGAATTCCTTTAGTTTTTCTTCATCTGAGAATGCCATTATTTCACCTTAATTCCTGATGGATATTTTCACTGGATACAATATGCTGTGTTAATAGTTCTTTTCTTTCAGCACTTAGCACTTGAAAAATGTTATGACACTTCCTTCTGGCTTGCATGATTTCTGATGAGAGATTTTCAGTGTTTAAATTGTTATTTCCATATAGATAATACATTGTATTTCTCTAGGTACTTTCAAGACTTTTTTCTTTGTTTTTATTTTTTAGCATTTTGATTACGATGTCTTTGGGCATAAATTTATATGTTCATCCTATTTGTAGGTTGTTGAACTTCTTAAATCTGTAGATTTGTCTTTTGCCAAATTGAGACTTTTTCATTCATTATTTATTCTAAATTTTTCAGCACCTTTTATTATCCTCTCACGGGTCCCTGAGATTCTACTCACTGTTTTTTGAACTTTTTTCTCTCTGTTGTTCAGATTGGTTAATTTCTATTAATCTAATTTCAGGTTCATTGACTTTCCCGTGTTTACTCTGCTATTAAGAGCATCCAGTGAGCTTTTTTTAAAACTTTGGCTATTGTATTTTTCAATTCTAAAATATCCATTTGATTCTTCTTTACATCTTCTATTTCTTTGCTGATACTTTCTATTTTTGCATTGGTTTCAAAAGTGCTTGTGATTGCTTGTAGGAGACATTTTATAGCAGAGTCAAGAACTTTGAAGGGTTTGAGATTTTAATGTACTTGCAAGTTAATAAGTTAGGCTGCCACAGGTTCATGAATAGTGGCAGAAGATATGAGACTCCTGTATCAGAGACAAAGGACAGTTTATTAGCCACACCAATAGCAGGAGGCAGAATGCCAGGATTTATCCTCGTTTCCTGGGCGCCAATTCCCACAGACTGATGCCATGAGGGCTGGTGATACCTGTACATGCAGTGGGTTGTGTTGAAGAGCTCTAGTCTTTAACGCATTAACTGCCATGTTAGTTGTATTTAACTCACACTAGTTTTGAGCCTGGGGCCTCGTGAAGTATATGTAATTCACACATTTCTTTACCTTATTCACCATACCTATGGGCACAGAAAACAAAAAATAACAAATTTTTCATTAAATTAGAATTGTTTTGTTTTTGAAGTTTTTACTCTATTTTCATAATAAAACTCTGTGGCCCCAAGGAAAAAAATTTATTTTCTAGTGCGCAGTCAATGTGTTAACAAAGGGCCAGCAAACCTGCCCAGCTTTGCCCTGGAGAAAGACATTATATATACTTTTTATCCTGAACAGTAAACAAGTCTGCCCTTGGCCACAGAGGAAGACATTATCCCATCTTCCAAGAATACTTGCTATAGAAACATCCCAAAAAAGAAAATCCAGAGAAAAATCTTTTAAAGCCTTTGCCTAGAAGACATGTAGAAATGCAGACCAATGGAGAATTGTCTCCCAACAAGTAGTTGCTGTAAAGCCTTCATCAGATAATCCCACCATCTGTGTTATTTCAGCATTGGCATCGCCCCCACCCCACACATGATTTGAGATTTTCCTGGTTCTTCATATGCTTAGTATTTTTGGATTATATTTTGGACAATTTCAATGTTCTGTTTTGAGACTCTGGATCTTGTTTAAATTCTATTAAGAGTGTTGATATTTTTGTTTTAGCAGGCAATAAGCCTGGGTAGGTTCAGGCCACAAGTTCAGAATAGTCTTCTGTAGGTGGGAAAGGGCATAATGACATGAATATCTACCCCCCAAAACCCAATGTGTATATTAAGTTCCAAGGTTATAAACCTAGAGAGGCCTTCCTCTTCTCCCACGCCCCCAAGGAAATTCACTTACATTGAAGATAATGAGTAATTTCTCTCCTGAGAAGGGGAATAGGTAGATCATAAGCAGCTTTGATAAAAGCTTGGAGTCTTCTAAATTCTAGATTCTTCTCCTGTGATGCAACCCACTGCACATGCAGGAAACATCTGTTACCTCATAGGAAATGGGGCATAGGGAAATGACACAATATATTGTTCTAATTGCTTTGTGCTTTAAGTAACAAATCTTTTATGGCCTAGCCCAGGGGTCTGTTGTCTTCTCTCAGTATTATGTATATGAAACTGGCAGGCTAACCTATTAGCTTGAAAGAAGGATAAAATATCAGACTCGTGATAGTTTTTAACTCAACAGAGGGAGAGTAGCAGGATGTGAAGATGAAGAAGTAGGCAGAGGCAAATCATGTAGGACAATAGTTAATAGATAGATTGTTGATGTCAAGAATAATGACAGCAGGAGCATTTTCGGTCTCTTCTGAAACTTCATCTTACCAGAGGTGGTTTATCTGAATACATTATCTGAAATAGTATTTTTCAGGTCCCTTTCCATCTTCTTACTATGCTTCCTCCAAGCCCCACCTTCTTAGCACTTATCACCACCTGTCTATATATTTATATGTTTAGTTTTTCCTTTCAGTCAGTAGAATGTAAAGGCCTTGAGAACAGACTTTTTTACTGCTTATTTCCGGGAGCTAGAATAGCACCTGGTACACTATACACACTCAATAATATTTATTGAATGAATGAATGGGATAAACTAAAGAATATTAGAACCATTAAGCAAGTTCAGTAATGTGGCCAATTATGAAATCAATAATTCTAAAATTAATAGCGTTTCTATGTACCTTTAGTAAAAGCCATTAGAAAAATATAGAAAAAAGATATTTATTAATAGCAATAAAAATATAAAATATCCAGAAGTAAACTAAATGGAAACTAAATAACACTCAGATTTTACTGAGAGAAGAATTGAATGGAGAAGCATACCATTGTTGCTGGATGAAAAGGCATAATATTGTAATAATGCAGATTCCCTCCAATTTAATGTATGAATTGAACACAACATCAATCAGAAGCCAAATGGAATATTTAAAGGAAAGGGAGGGGCAAAATTTGACAGAATGACTTTAAAATTTACCATGAAGAATAAATGCTTTAGAAGCCAATCATGTTTGGAAGAAGGACACTGAGAAGGGACCTTGCTCTACCAGACTCAAAAACACATGGGAAAAGGCCAATGGACGGTATATATCTAAAGTCTTAAAAAGAAAAAGAAGTACGTACCCTTTTGCCAGACATTCCATTCCTGGAAATTTTCCCTGAGAAACAACTACATGATTTGGCAAAGCTGTTTATCGAAGCATTGTCTGTAATGCCAAAACAATGAAAGCAGCCAACGCTTGACAAGTAGAGGCTGGTTTGAACAAATCCCTGTGGAATATCATGGAATTCCTAAGAACGATGTTGTAGAACTACATTAATTGATATGGAAGGTGCTTGCTGTATATTGTGGTTAAAAAAAAACTGATTAAAAAACAGTATGCCTAATGGTATTCCCATTTTTGTAAAAATAGAAATATGTGTGTGTATATATATCTATATATATGAAGAAAAAAAACTGAAGATTACACGTCAAAATATTAATAGTAGTTCAACTCATTACTGAAAAAATAGTAAGTTTTCCCAAAAATGAGATGGCAGTTAAGCTCTTCACTACTGCCACGTGGTGGCTCCCACAGGGGAAGTTTGTTATTTCTTTACCGTCTTAAGTAATAACACACATAACAACACAATTATATAAAGTTATAAAGAAATCTTCAGTACTGTACCATCTTAGTCCCTGAATTACCCTTGCCCTTTCTACAATATCCCATTGCCTCTTCCTTCAATGTTTTGGTGGACAACTCTTAGGGTATGCCCATTCTTTGTTATGTTCCTAATGGTTGAAAAGACAGTATAAACATGTACTGAGAGAACTATAAGGAAACAAATAACCTTACCCCCAGCTGCACGTAAAACCCTTGTTCAGACAGAAACATAGACCGACATTGAATTGTTCAAGTGTCCAGATACTAAGAATCTTATGTCAGAGATGTGGAACTATAGTCAGGCATCCTTGGGCTCCCAGCTAGAGTTTTACCCATTCTCTGATCCCCCCTTACGTTTCTGTAACTATCACCATATGCAGTTGTTCATGCACTTTTCTCCCTTTCTTTTCTAGGTCTTGCCCACTTTCTCAGGGAAATAGTCTCCAGCTCTGGATCTCTTTTTCTTTGTGCGTCAAAAACAAAGGGCATCCTCTCTGGGAGGCCGAGGCGGTGGATTGTTTGAGCTCAGGAGTTCGAAACCAGCCTGAGCAAGAGCGAGACCCCATCTCTACTATTAATTGGACAACTAAAAATATATAGAAAAAACTAGCCGGGCATGGTGGCGCATGTCTGTAGTCCCAGCTACTCGGGAGGCTGAGGCAGGAGGATCGCTTGAGCCCAGGAGTTTGAGGTTGCTGTGAGCTAGGCTGACGCCATGGCACTCACTCTAGCCCGGGCAACACAGTGAGACTCTGTCTCAAAAAAAAAAACAAAAAAAAAAAAAAAAAAAAAAACAAAGGGCATCGATGCTAATAAGTATAAAAGTTGTACTAGGGATAAATCTATTGTTTAAAAGTAAAACTAGAAATATGAAAAAACTAGTGCCATTAGCCTCTGAAGCCCTGGAAAAATGTTCTTCCTTTCTTTCTGACTAGACAAGGGGGGGAAAAAAAAAGAAAGAAAGAAAAGAAAATAAGAAAGAAAAATGCTCTTCCTCCTGCTACTTTGGGTGTTGGTTAATTCGTCTTACCCTGGTGGGAAAGCCTCTTCTTTCAAGCTTATATTTTTCAACCATCCATCTCTCTATTCCAGCTTGTTACTGTCATCTGCTAAGCTCCGAGTTATTCTTCTCTCTGGTTTGTGGTCTTCATCTCCATTGTGAGTCCCACCATCATCTGAGATGATTTCATTGTCCATGTGAACAGCCTTAGCTTCTATTTCCTTGAATCCTCTCAATTTAATGACCTTTAACACATTGCATTTGGTCCATTCAGTGGCTGTGCGTAAGTTTGTTGCATACCAAATGGTTTATCACCATTTTCTTCTACCTCTTGAATCCTGAATTTCAATCTCTTCCATTCCTTTAGCTCATCTATTTTCTTGCTAAAAGCCTCCTTCTGTCACTTCCTTCCTTAATCAGCCTAGATGCATGGTCCAGGTTTCATGAGTCAACTTTTCATAAACACCCTCACTCCTTTGTCCTCTTGGTCACCTGGCTCAAAATCAGCCTGGTTTCATCCATGACACTATGCTCCACCATGTTCCTGGCTTGTGGCCTAAGCATGAGTATAGGTTCCTTTGATATGGCAGGGGCATCTAAGATGAAAAAAGAAAATCATTCAGCATAAAATGAATCTAGCCTGGGAATAATATGATAATTTACTTTCTATTCCTGTACCCAGGCTGTATAGGTAAAAACCCTCTTATCCTCTCTCTCATTTTTAATGTTGGTGACAGGCTTTATGTAAAGCTTAAGTGGCTCCAAATGTATTTTAGTGCTTCATGGATATGTTCCCTTTGAAATCTTAGCACTGTTCTCACGTAGACTAGTAATGGAACTACCTCTTAACTTCCCTGCTTCTTTTTGGTAGATTTATTCACTTGTGCACAAATATTTATTGAGTACCTGCTATGTATTTGGCAGATACTTTGCTCTTAAACAACTTCTAATAGTATAAAATGAGATAAATACTCAAAAAAAGTTTAAGATAATACTACATTAAAAAATGACTAAAAAGAAGATGGAATGTGCCACGAAAGATCAAAGAAGGAAGAGCTTACATCCAGCTAAGAACATTCTTAAAGAATAGGCAGAATTTGCTCAGTTGGTAATAGAGGAAAGAATGTTTCAGCTAGAGTGAGAAGTATGCGAGAAGACTCGGCGTGAGAAAGCATTAGGAATAACCCAGTTCTTGACTTATTTGTTCATAGGTGGATGGAAAGCATATTTCCAGTTTTTAAAATATGATATGCTGATATTCCATTTGTCAATGAATGTAGCCCTTTCTTTTGTCTTTCAAAGGTTTATTTTGTTTTTGTTTTTTGAGACAGGTCTCACTCTGTCGCCTAAGCTAGAGTGCAGTGGCATCATCATAACTCCCTGCAGCCTCCAAATCCTGGGCTCAAACAATCTTCTAGCCTCAGCCTCCAGAGTAGCTGGGACTACAGGTGTGTGCCACCACGTCTGGCTAATTTTTCTATTTTTTGTAGAGACAGGGTCTTGCTCTTGCTCATGCTGGTTTTGAACTCCTGGCCTCAAGCAATCCTCCTACCTTGACCTCCCAAAGTACCAGGATTACAGGTGTGAGTTACCACGCCCAGCCTCAAAGACACTATTTTTAACAAACAGCCAGTGTGGTCTTCTTGACCACACAATTAGTAAAGTTACCCCTGAAATTTTCATTAGCAACAGCAAAAGAGCACACAATATTAATATGTTAATATCAGCCTATTTTTGGTCAGAAAGGCTCATTTAAATGTTTAAGAGACAGAATTCCCAATGCTTCATAGTAATTTCCACTAATAGGAAAAAGCTCAAAATTGGTTTTTCTAGAACTCTAGGGGAATACTCTTCAAAAATAAAAGGAAATGAACACAGGTGACAACACAGATGAATAATTGTGCTGAAAGAAACCAGACTAAAAAAAAAA